GGAAAATAACAAACGACCAGAGACGTAACACTGCATTTTCACCATATAAAACGTTATTTATCAATATTTGTATAATATTTACATTTGAAAACATATATGTCCAGATGTGGTTTTTGGTGTAGCCCACACGAAATTGTCCTTGGGTTTCTAAAAATCTCCATTAAAAAATTATGAAATTTAATTTTTGCATAGGTGCATGAACCACGGGTTAAGATGCTCGACTCACCATATATGGGTCACGGGCTCAAATCCCGTCACCGAACATGCGCGCCCTTTCAGCTCATGAGATGTTGTAAAGTGAAAGTCAATTCCACTTTTCATTGGTAAAGAGCAGACCGAAAGTTGGTGGTGGATCGTAGTGACTAGCTGCCTTCCATTTAATCCTGCATTTCTCAACCTTTTTGATTTCGGGGACCGGCTTGCTACCTAAACTGTCGCTGATTGTTAAAATACAACTACAGCGAAAAATGACGATTTAAATATGGATATTTTGTCAGTCTTTTGTTTGTTTGTTTTCGTAAAATCTCACAGACCGGCAAGGTAGTTGTGATGGTCCAACGTTGATCTGCAGATCGGTGGTTGAGAAACACTTCACTAGTCTATCACTTCAAAATTGGAAAGGTAGGCACAGATAGCTTTGCGCAAAATTAATCAAGAAAACAAACATTACAATAATACAGAACTACACTTGTAGAAAATTTGCATAAAAATGACAAAGCTTTCGTCATGATGAATTTAAACAATTAGAATAAGTAAAAGGTGTGCTTGGAGTGTAGAAAATGTTTAAAGCGAGTTTTCTGTAATTTTGTTTATCAGTTACTTAAAACGATTGAATTCAGACTTCTGATAAACGTGATTCAACATGTTCTGAAAAACATTACCTTAGGACAGGTTTTGTAACAGCGTAAGTAAATTATTTGATAACTGGTTTTAATATATTTATATATTAAAAAATCTAAATCTTCTTACATCTGTATAATTTTTATTCGATCTTTCCTAGAAATGTGAGAAATACTAGGATGCTAACCTCTAGTTTAGACAACTATCTTCGAAGGTTGGAAAACCCCTCGTGGAACTATGACGTCAATTTGATGTTAGTTCATACGAACGGTGCAAAAGATATGTTATACAAACTCTATGCAAAGTTAAGTACGTTGTGAGAAAAACTAGATAGTAACATGCTTGAACATTTCTTAATGGCACAAGTTTTTTCTTTACGAAGTTATTTTATTTTTATAGGTCCAAGTGTAATTCAAATACTATTACTATTACCAGTGGTAGTACTACTCAGTCAGTGATGATGTATGATTTAGACTAGATTCAGACAACAAAGGCGTTTACGACTTACTAAGTAAAATACTAGTTGAACAACAGTTATATGCATGATGATATATAGAGATTGATAATTTTTCAAAACTTCATGCTTACTTGCAAGTAAGTAACCCAGAAATTAATGTTAGACCCTGCTCTATGATAAACCATAATACTTCTGAATTCTTGATTATAGTCATTAGATTCTTGTAGTACATTATTAGAATATTATTATTATTAAGAGTGTAAGAAGATTTACCATTAAGTAGAATTTTCAAACAGTAAAACATCACTTAAGCATTATCATAGGCCCTGAGATGTATGTTTCGCATTAAAATTATTAGACTAACAGGGAAAGTGTTCATTTTGTTTAGGCTATAAAATACAGTTGTTTTTTCTTTCATATGTATGCTTCCATGGCCAAGATACAAAAGCTGGACTTCAAAAATGTTGTTGCTTGTGTGGCATCAGTTGGTAATGGAATAAAACAACACACCTTGTTTTACATATACAAACTCTTTCAAGCTTTAAGAAATATTAACTAGGAAATGTTTTACACATACAAACTCTTTCAAGCTTTAGGAAATATTAAAATTTACTAAACTACATCTTCATATTGATTTAACCAAGACAGTGCATATACCAGTTTTATCTGAAATACTATCTGCAAACAAAACTTCTAATTCTTGGAACTTGCATCAAAATCTTTACCATAAATTAACTAAATTTATTTCAAACTTCCCTATTAGCATAATAACAAGTCTGTTTGCCAAAATGTAGAAAGTGATCCTCCCAAGATCAGAGGTCCTCATATAGTAATATAAATTGTATTTAAACAGAGTAATATAGTTCTTCTTCAAATGCTTTCCAATCTTGGCTAGAGGAGTCACTCATGTGCAAAAATATTTCCCTACATTTACAACTTACCTACAAATCAAACCAGTTTACCTATTGATCCAGACATTTCCCCAATAATCTTTAATTTTTGCATCCTTCTCAAAATATGTTAATCACATCTAATGTGTGAGAGTTTGAGAAAGAGCTGCTCAGTGATTCTGTGTTTATTGCAGAAATAAAAGTAGCTTTTGTGCATAACTCTTCATATTAGACTTCCAGAAAGTATAACCAGGTATTATTTAACTAGTGGAATGCACCTTTGAGAGTACTGACAAACATGTTCTTACAAAATATATATAAAGAATTACCCTTAATCTAACATACAAACACAGATTTAACACCAACATTTTTGTTCATAGGCCCACATTAGTTGGTAGTTAGGATGAAGTTAATCATTGAATATTAATGTCAGACACCTTCATGTTAAGGGGATGGTGTGGTGTGGCCTAGTGGTTAATGTTTTGGTTTCATAATTGAAAGGTTGCAGATATATATGAAGCTTCCTCATACATAGTTGTGTCCTTGAGTGAAATGCTTTACCTCGTAGTTGCTTCAGTCTTCCCATCTGTAAAATGTACCAGTTAACGTGTAATGGACTGGCATCCAGTCCAGGGGAGTAGGTTATCTTTCTCATCCACTCCTTCTGCTGTAGCACTAGGATTTTCTTGTGCAGAACAGATTAATTTTATTTTTATTTTTTATTATTGCCTTTATTTTTAAGAAATTCAAGATTTTTATGTTGCATCATAAACAGCATATAACATAAGTTTGTGAACTCATTTAATATAATTATTTTTTAGAACAGCTGAAAGTGCTTTGCAGCATTGTTAATAACTGCATTTATGGTTAGATGGTAAAACCAGTTATCAGAATTTGTACTATCTTAACTGCTTTTTTCCATTTTAATATTTATAAAGATGTAAAGATCCAGGTGTTAGAAGGCCATTCAATTTACATCTTCACATCCATAAATTTTTCCAAAGAGTATTTAAAATAATGTAAACATATACAACATGGTAAGAGTTCCATATGGCA